GCAGCCGGGCAATCCGCCAAAGGTGGAAAAAGGCAGTGCGGACTACCGATGCCACCTGCGTTTCCATGGTGAGCATTGGGTCCAAGTGTACCCCCAGGCTGCGGACCCCACTCTTCGCAGCCAGGGCCACCCACCAAACATGAGGGAGTTTCCCAAGCCACCATCCACAGGGCCACCCACCCTCAGAACTTCCGTCTTGTCCGGGTTCAGCCTCAGCCCGTTCTCCTGCATCCATTGCTGTACGGCCCCCAGGCAGTGCTGGAGGGACAGGACGGCATCATCTGCAGTTGGTGAAAAGGAAATATAGAGCTGGGTGTCATCAGCATATTGATGGCACGATGCTCCACATCCCCTGATGACCCCACCCAGCGGTGTCATATAGATGGGGAGATGATGGACCCCTGTGGAACCCCACAATTGAGACTCCATGGGGCCAAAATACTCTCCCCAAGCTGCACTCTCTGGGGGCGGTCCTCCAAGAAGGAACAGAGCCAGGCCAGAGCCAAGCCACCGATAACCAACTCAGAGAGCCTCCCCAGGAGGATACCGTGGTTGACGGTATCGAAGGCCGCTGAGATGTCGAGGAGGACCAACAAAGAAATTTTACCGCTGTCGGCCTCCCTCAACAAGTCATCGTACAGGGCGAACAACGCCGACCAACATCCTGGAGGACACATTGATTTCATAAACGGAGACACTACTCTAATATGCAGCCTTTAGAATTTGTAATATTTAATTTCACTGTGGTCAAATACCTTCTTAAATTCAATGTATACATTTTTGCTTTTATTCTCAAAGATGTGGTTTTTCAGGTTCCTCACCCCTTCCTTTTCATACACATTGGTTAAAGTATCTAACTCTGGAGCCAGAGGCTGGGAGTTCTGTTCCAACTCTGTAGTTCTAAGATTCTATTACCTCAGGACCTATTTCTCTGACCATTTCTGCTTCCTATCCTGTTTTCAGAAATTCCTGATGATTCTCTTTCCTTCCTCCTCCGTAATTCAGTCGGAGTCCGAACACATCATTCTTTATTTCTGCAGATTTGGAAGTGGCTCTTTCTCTTCTTTTTCTAATTTGCCAGATGATGAACAGGAGAAGAAGAATTGCCCAGCAACTTCTGGGACAACCTGGGCAGGAACTCAAAACCAAGCAAGAAAACAGAGAATTGAAAATCAGAGTGGGCAGGCATGGACTTCACATGAAAGAAATCACGCAGGGGAGAAGCCACATCAATGCATCTCACCTCAGTAGACATCAGAGAACACATGCAGGGGAGAAGCCATATCAATGCATAGAATGTGGGAAGAGCTTCAGTCACACTGGTAACCTTAGGTCACATCAAAGAACTCACACTGGGGAGAAACCGCATAAATGGATGGAATGTGGAAAGAGCTTTAGTCAGAGTGGTGTCCTTAGGTCACATGAAAGAACTCACACTGGGGAGAAACCGCATAAATGCATTGAATGCGGAAAGAGCTTTAGTCAGAATATTCACCTCAGGTTACATCAACGAACTCACACTGGGGAGAAACCGTATAAATGTATGGCATGTGGAAAGAGATTTAGTGGTAGTGGTGCCCTTAGGTTACATGAAACAACTCACACTGGAGAAAAGCCATATAAATGCATGGAATGTGGAAAGAGTTTTAGTCACAGTGGTGTCCTTAGGTTACATCAAAAGACTCACACTGGGGAGAAACCGCATAAATGCATGGAATGTGGAAAGAGTTTTAGTCACAGTGGTGTCCTTAGGTTACATCAAAAGACTCACACTGGGGAGAAACCGCATAAATGCATGGAATGTGGAAAGAGTTTTAGTCACAGTGGTGTCCTTAGGTTACATCAAAAGACTCACACTGGGGAGAAACCGCATAAATGCATGGAATGTGGAAAGAGTTTTAGTCACAGTGGTGTCCTTAGGTTACATCAAAAGACTCACACTGGGGAGAAACCGCATAAATGCATGGAATGTGGAAAGAGTTTTAGTCACAGTGGTGTCCTTAGGTTACATCAAAAGACTCACACTGGGGAGAAACCGCATAAATGCATGGAATGTGGAAAGAGTTTTAGTCACAGTGGTGTCCTTAGGTTACATCAAAAGACTCACACTGGGGAGAAACCGCATAAATGCATGGAATGTGGAAAGAGTTTTAGTCACAGTGGTGTCCTTAGGTTACATCAAAAGACTCACACTGGGGAGAAACCGCATAAATGCATGGAATGTGGAAAGAGTTTTAGTCACAGTGGTGTCCTTAGGTTACATCAAAAGACTCACACTGGGGAGAAACCGCATAAATGCATGGAATGTGGAAAGAGTTTTAGTCACAGTGGTGTCCTTAGGTTACATCAAAAGACTCACACTGGGGAGAAACCGCATAAATGCATGGAATGTGGAAAGAGCTTTAATCAGAGTGGTAGTCTTAGGATACATGAAAGAATTCACACTGAGGAAAAACCGTATAAATGCATAGAGTGTGGAAAGAGTTTTAGTCAGAGTTATCACCTTAGGTTACATGAAAGAACTCACACTGGGGAGAAACCATATAAATGCATGGAATGTGGAAAGAGTTTTAGTCACAGTGGCGGCCTTAGGAAACATGAAAGAACTCACACTGGGGACAAACCATAGAAATGCATCAAATGTGGAAAGAGCTTTAATCAGAGTGGTAGCCTTAGGAGCTTCTGATAAGAAGGCATAAGGAGCTCACTCAGTTTTGTGTTGGTTTCCAGTGGAAAGACTATGCAACTGAATTGTGATGTAATGCAAAACAGAGAGAAAACAGAAAAATTGAGTGCATTTTGAAGTCCCGCCTGCAATGCATTTTATTACTATTTTTAATTAACAGAGAGATACAACAAAATAGACGTGGGAACTTGTGCTAAATAAATGAGAATAAGCATATATTGTGAAATGGAAGCTTTTACAAGATTAGTGTAAAAAGAGAAAAGGATGGATGTTCTAAGGCTAAATGATGAAAGAAAAGCAAGTAGTAAAGAGAGAGAAGCTGCCGTTTGTTTCATAAGTCTTTACCTTCATGAATAATAATCGTAATTTAATTTTAAAGAGTGTACCAATGAATATACTATCATTCATGAAGAACTAGGTGTTTCTATGGTATTGTATTGATGGTATGCTGCTTTGTTGGAAACAATGGAAATTTTCACATAGTAGTCTCTGTGAATAGACACAAATGGGCTTATCATGCGCCTGCACAGGATGTTCGGAGGATTCTAGAGCTTTAGAAAAAAGAGTCAATTAAGCTTCCCCACCCCCCGAGGGTATATAGGCTCCGCCTCCTCCAACTTCCTTTCAGTTCCACTTTTTCCACCCTTCCTGTAGGACCGATTATCTCTTAAGTATTCTATCTTAGCTTGTCTTTTCTTTTGTCTCCCTTTTTACTTTATTGTTGTTCATTCGACAGAACCTGCCTTATTATTTGC